ATTGATGGTCCAACAGATTCGTAAGGAGCATGAAGGGGGTAGTATGGGACCTCTCATTTAGAGGGAACATGCAAGATTGGGAGATTGCGGAGCTCCAAGATTTGTTGACACTGCTATATGGGCAAGACAGGCCCCAGCCATCTTGTGAGAAGGGGTTTGCATGGCGATGGTTTGTTCACCGTAAAGTCCTTTTACCAGAGTATGTTGGTGGGAGAGGAGGCCACTTTTCCATACTCCTCGATCTGGATTCCTAAGGCGCCCACGAAGGTGTGCTTTTTTGCATGGCTAGTGGCGAGGGGAGTGATTTTGACTGTTGAAAATCTGCGAAGAGAGGAATTACACTTGTTAGTTGGTGCTACATGCGTAAAAGCTCAGGGAAAGAAGTTGATCATCTTTTGTTGCATTGCCCTGTGTCCTCGGCTTTGTGGAGGGCAATCCTGAATCTTTTTGGTGTTCAATGGGTGATGCCAAGCACTGTAAAGGAAATGTTATATAGCTGGGCCGGTTTCCATAGAAGAAGAAAGCAAAAGGCGTGGAACTTCAAACCGTTAGCTCTCATGTGGATAGTTTGGGGGGAGAGAAATAGGAGAGCTTTAGAGGGGATTGAGTCTCCTTTTTCACATCTTAAGAATAGTATCTTTGGTCGCTTTTTGATGGCACTCATATAGCCCCTACTTGTATAGAAGATTGGGCGTCTTTTGTAGAGAATCATGTTCTGATGTGAATTCTCTACTTTTTGGTATACTTCCTGTATACGGGCGTTCTCTCCCTTTTGATTAATACAATTTACCTTATCAAAAAAAATAATGTTACTGTTCCCTCTTAATTCTGTTTTCCACTCTAATCTAAGTTGTTGATCCTATAGTAGCAAAAGAAGAGGATGCACATTCCACCCCCCACTCAAAAAGTATTGCCGGAGTTCTATCCTTCTGTCACCATTTAGGGAAAGAATTCCACGCCCCAATTTAACGGAGTACAACCCCTTTCGATCATGAGCCCATCTCAAAGTCTTCTCCATTGATCACCCAGTTGCTATTCTTTAATTTTGTGATAACCTGAATCAAGCTCTTCAACTCCCAATCTTGGCAACTCCTTCTAAGGAAGATGCTCCAACTTGTCCAGCCTACGCTGAGCTGTAGTCGCATTAGGATGAACATATTTTTAGGATGAACTTGTTCTTTTTGGGCATTAGGATGAACTTCTTTTTGATAAATAGTAGCATTATAAACTTTCGATGTAACAATATCAGGATAATCATTCTTCAGACAGTTTGGCCAACTAAATATCCTTCTAGAATCTACTCTTCTGCTCATCCACAACTTTCAGAGAATTATTAATTTGAAACTCATGCCATAGACTACTAATATATCTCCACAATCCATGACCATGTGGGATCCAACTCTGCTAATGCACCAGCTATCACTTTTTCCATACTTTTTTGTGGTACTTCTTCTCTATAAAGGGTCATCCTCTTGAATATATCCGCACAGAGATGTAAACAAATATCTTTATTACTGGAAATAAGGATGGCCTTGGAGAAAATTTGGAAATGTAATGCATACCCTAGTGTGTCATGCTTTGGTTGGATTGTTTTAAAGGAAGCATGTATAACTCAGAATCTTATAAAAAGTGAGATTTATTTGTGCAGCAGATGCTTCATGTGCAACATGGAAACATAAGATGTAGATCAGTTATTTCTGCACTTCAGAATAATATCAGAACTCTGCAAAATGTTCTTGAACATTTTGTAAGTTTAATGGGTGATGCGCACATTCAAATGTCAATATTTCTAAAGCTTTGGGAAGTTAAAAAGCTGAAAAAGGATATAAAAGCCATCAGGGAAACCATAATATGTGCATCCCGTGGACCATACGGGGAGAGAGAAACACCAGATGTTTTTAAGGCAAAAGCAGATCACTTCATCAACTAAAATATTACTGTATACATCCTTTAAATTGTTGGTGTTAACTAAATGATGGGAAGAGTACTGAAAATCTCAGACTTCATTACTTCCTCTGTTCCAATTTATGTGGAGGTGTTTGATTTGGCACAAAGTTTAGGAAAGAAAGGAAGACTTCTGAAATTTGTGGTTTAAAATAAGCCATAGATATTGTGTGGCTGTAAATCATTTCATTAAGAGTAAAGTATTAAAGTTAAATTATTTTTAAATAAAGAAGTATGACATTCTTTTTGGGATGGACTAAAAAAGAAAGTATGACACAAAAATTAGGAGAGAGGAACTAACTTTTTAACTCTTTTTAACTCTATAAATAGATGAAATCTATTTTAAACTCTTATATTGTGGCACCCTCTTGGTGCTTTCACATTAATAAAACTATGTCGTACTTTCTCAAGAAAACTCTTTCTTCTTTATTGTGTCTACGCACTAATTTACCCAAAAAATGAGTAGAGCATCTCAGTGTTGTCAAAGGCGCGCTTAAAGCGTGCTTAAGCCTGAAATGGGGCTCAAAACATGTTGAGCGCTTCGCCTCGCTTTGCGGTCGCTTCAGCGTCGTCATCAAGGCTTTAAGGCATATTTTTCCTTGCCAACGAGCGTAATTCTAAAGAAGCGACACTAAACAATTGATATTTCACTATCGTAATTCTCTTTCAATTTCTTTGTCTATATATTTGTTATTCAAACTTATAACTATTAGTCTTTGACTACTTATCAAAATAAAGCTATTAGTCTTGGACTACACATACATATTTATATTATTTTTTTCCATTTGCGCCTTTCTTCATTAAAGCCCACGCATTATTTGCGCTTTGCACTTAAAGCCCCAACGGACCTTAGAGCTTTTTTTACGCTTTTCGCCTTTCATAACACTGGAGCATCTACCAAGTCCGAACAAAATGATGGAGAAACAAGGAAAATTCAAGAAAGAGAACTTGATATAATGGTAATACCGAACATATTTTTTAAAATGAAATAAAAGGTCACAATAAAGATAGTTTAAGCAGATTTAATTATTCAATTGTGCCGATTCTCTTGACCATGGAGAATAAAGAGTATTTCGGCTAATCATTTTGCTTTTATGCAGTTTCTGGATGAGACGAAGCTGATTATAAATTTTTCTAAATTTTGCTGATTTGTGTCGTGTAATTTTTTATATTTAAGCAGAAATAGATACCTCGCTAGGTATGAAAATTAAAGAAAGTATCTAAGTTTGCTTGATAACAACAACAAGAAGCCTAGTGAAATTCCACAAGTGGGGTCTGGGGAGGGTAAAGTATACGCAAACCTTACCCCTACCTTATTAACTATCACATCTTGTGTAATAATAGTGATAGTTAATATGCATTATGAAGTCTTGAGCTTTATCGTGTTATTTAATTGTGTAGGAGTGGTCGGAAGAAGAGTGGAGAAAAGAATGAAGCAGTGACATAGCCACTGCCTCGCACCCACTATAGCACTGAATTCCAGTGCTATCCTCAGTGCCCAACAGTCACCATAGCACTCAATTTCACTGCTACCATCCGTACGGCGCACCCAGGCATTTTGGAGGCCAAGTTGTTCCTATTTTGCTTGGACTCGGTTAAAATCGTCTAGGACTTTTCCTACACATATAAATAGTCTATAAACTTAATTTTTTAGGGGAGTTGACCCTAACAAAGGAGAAATATTGCCGCACAATTTAGGAGCCGAAAATCATAGAGTTTTTCTTTCTTTCTCTCACTACTTGTATTTTTACGCTTTCAAACATTCTTTACGATGATTAGCATGACTATGAGTGGCTAGTTCTTTTTGTTCTGGGTTAAGGGTGCTACACGAATGTTGATGTTTGAAGTTTGCAGTGGCGATTTTGATTTTATCATATTGGTTTGTTTATTTAATCATGCACTTAATTATTTGCTGCATAGCTAACAGTAAAATACTATCTACGATTCTAGAGTTGAACTCGAAAATGAGAATTCTAAATTGCATATAGGATTAAATAGAGCAAGTTCTTGAACCTGAACATCGAGGAATGGATTCGCGGTTAGGATCGACATATACCTAATTGCCTTGTTTGGTTGATATACAGGAATTACAAATGCGTTCTTGTTAGTCCTAATTTCATAGACGTATAGGTGTTAGGTTAACTTGAATAGGCGAGTAAGAACTCGGCGGATTCTTACAAGTAGCATGAACAAACCAGATAAATCAATTAGTTAGTTTAAGCAGAGAACGCATACAAGATTGTTAGCTAGCCTATAACCCTGGAATATCTTCTGCCATTGATTTTTTTTATCCCAAGTTGTCCACGTGCGTCATTCGATCTCTAGTTTACTTGATTGCTCTACAGTTTCTTTTGTAGTTAATTAATCACCAACACACTTTGAGTAAAACCACTTGAATAGATAATTAGTTTGAGTCGAATTTAGTTAATAGTTAGTCATAAGTCTAGGTGAGAATGATACTCTACTTACTACTTTATTACTTGTCGACTGCGTATACTTGTGTGTGGTTTAACCCCAACATTACTCGTCAAAAGCATAATATATGTACTCTCCAGACAACATATCACAGAAAATGGGCAGCATAGTATGATTGAATTAGTAGACGTAAACTTAAATTTTCAGAGAGAAAGATAAGGAACCAAATTCATTCAATGATAAAATGACACAAAAAACCTCAACAATGAGAAAAAGATAGTAAATTTCACCAAGCATCATATCCATAAGCTCTAAGTGAAGGTATACTTAAAAGACATGTCCTTTGACAACCCTAAGAAAAGGCGAGTAATGATAGAGCAACCTTTTTTCAAAAATCGTTTAAGATAGGCGTATAGCATACAACATAAAGGTACAACTGAGAATGAGTTAACAGTTAAAAAGTGAAATTTTAGTTAAAAAGTGAAATTTTATACTTTCTTCCAAAATAAATCCCAATAAGTGCTTCAAACAAGAAGGCTTCCTAAATTACAAAACGGCAATGAAGAACAAAGCACACTGAAATACCACATTAATAACATAAATAGATCTGGCATTCAAACTTGAATTGCACAAGATAATACCTTTTTTCACAGTATACTTGGGATTTACTTGATTCACAACAGCTAAGCTGAACTGGGCATACCTACTCCACCCATATGGAAGTGTAGCTGAATCTGCTACATCTAAGTACATCGACAAACAATCCACATTATTTCCTTTCGGAAATATTAGCACTCTCCTGAAAAAAACCAATGACATACGGACACCAATTATAACACTTTATTACAAAACTTAACGACCAAGATAACTGATATACTTCCCTTTTTTAAGGGAAGTCTCAGATAAGTGATAATTTTTCACTAACCATTTATAACTACCAACACTGAAAACCTCAGAATATAACTTCTTCACTGATAGCCGAGAGAAATTATCAATTGTCCAAGTAAACCGCGAAGCCTGCGGCTCATCCACAGCTTGATTCTCCACTGCACTAGCATTCTCAGTCGGCGTCGCTGAAAATATCACATTGACCAATATAAACATGGCAATTCTAAGCATAATCCTGATTAACTCGAAACTATAATATTATTTGTAACAGGGATGCAGGCAGGCTAAAATAATACAAGGAGGTGGGAGCAAAACCTTTTATAATTAAATCTTAAATATCTGAAGTTGTCAAAAAGGGGCAATAAGAGAGATGTATAGGAAAAAGTTTGGAGCACCAAACCTCCTAGAAAGTAGCTTAGTTTGTTTAGCGTTCTGTGTGAGATGCAATTTTAACAGCATATAACTCAAGAAGAGGAGGATAGTTGTGAGTTGATGTGCATATTCAAAGAATCGGGAGAAAATACTAATCATCTCTTGTTGCATTGCAAGTAGGCTTCACAACTATCAAAACTTGATTGACAATGACAAATAGTCGTGGATGTTGCCAACGACAGTGGAGAAAGCAATCACAAGTTAGAGATTGGAGAGGATTGGAAATGAAAGGAAGGTAGCATGGAAGACGGTGCCACCTCGTCCGTTTTGCAGTATATGGAGCAAACTGAAAAGGAGATTATATTATACTAGTGAGAATAGTGCAAAAAGCATTACGAAAGCTCTTTGTTTCACTTGTAAGGAGAAGAAACCATGGTGTGTGGACAGTTCTTCAAACTTGGCGAAAATTACTTGTAGTTAATTTTTTGACACCGAATTGGTGCTTATTAATGAAGGAAATAACTTGCATTATCAAAACAATAATCATAATGATAAACCAAGACCGCTAAATGGTCAAGACGACCCAACCTTCCATGGGCTGAGGACCTTCAACTAAGGGTTGAGGACCTTCAACCATGTCTGCACGCGGCACCAGCATCTCCTCCTCTTCTTGATGCTGCATTTTGAAATTTCATTAACTACTAAAATAATTAAACAAATCGCAAGGAAAAAAAACATATGGACAAGAAAATCTCACAAAAGCAACAACAACAACAACAACAACAACAACAACAACTACCCAGTAAAATCCCACAAAGTGGGGTCTGGGTAGGGTAATGTGTACGCAGACCTTACCCTACCCCGATAGGGCAGAGAGGCTGTTTCCGATAGACCCTCGGCAAACCCTCACAAAAGCATATAATGATTAATGAATTCAAAAATCTATGATCCTTTAAAACCCTAACCCTCTTACCCTAATTCAAGAGCCCTACAGTATTCAATTCATTTATTTTTTTTTTAAAAAACCTACATTTTTCTCTATCCACAGTGGTTCAATTCAATTCACTCCAAAACCAATAATTTCAAAACCAAAACCAAAAAGGATCACACACCACCCACCCCTACACTTTACCCCTCAGCCTACCCCCCCCCCCCCCAATCATGTACACGCAATCAAGCAAAATACCAGCAGCAATTAATATTTTTACGGCCAACAAACAGATACATAACGATATTAAAAAATGAAAATTGAGAGTTAGTAATGTAGGAGAAAGAAAGACTCACATCCAATGGTTGAGAATTCAGTATGGTCATGCTTGGTGATAGAACTACCGTCCGATCACACCAACGAAGGGAAAGAGTAATAGGGGTAGGACTGAGGGGTGGGTGGGTAAGGAAGAAGAGAGATGTAGAGAGAGATGAGAGAGATTCTGAAAATTGGTGTTGTATTTGGGGGTGGGTTTTCGATGGGGGGAAGAGGATATGAATGGAATTAAGGGAAAGGTTAGGGATAAATTAGGGGAAGGAGAAATATTTGTGGGAAACTACTACACGTTTCTTGTGTGCACGAAGGCATTTCTGACATCTAATAAGAAGCTGCCACGTATAAAGCAGACCTCTTGGCGGCGGGAAAAATGATTGACGTGCAACACAAGGAGTGGATAAAGGCTCTCATCGTACGATAATACATGTCAATTAATTCGATGCTTGTAGGCTGACAAATTACACTTTACGTAATGTAGGAATTACTACTCTCCGTTTCAATTTATGTGAACCCATTTGACTGGGCACGGAGTTTAAGAAAAGAGAAAGACTTTTAAACTTGTGGTATAAAATGAAGCACATATATTTTGTGTGGCTATAAATCATTGCATAAAGGTAAATTGTTTCCAAATAGGGAAAGAGGTCATTCTTTTTGGTTCGGACTAAAAAGGAAATAGGTTCACATAAATTGAAACGGAGGAAGTATGTTTTAGTGGTTACTCCCTCCGTTTCATATTAAATGAGGTACTTTTTTTTTAGTCTGTTCTAAAATAAATGATACATTTCTAAATTTAGAAATAATTCAACTTTAAACTCCTCATTTTACCCATTTTACGCTTAATGAGAAGCTTTTATAACCACACAAAAGTCATGGCCCCACAAAGCTTTACCCCTTAAGCTTTTAAGACCACAAATTTCAAAAGTCTTTCTTTTTTTCCTTAAACTCCGTGCCGAGTCAAACTACCTCATTTAATTTGAAACGGAGGGAGTATTAGTTAGTTGTACCTACCATATACTATATTACTTCTTATAGCTATGTTTTCAGGTTTTTTATAGTGTATTCGATGTATTTAAGCTATTGTATTCAGTATTTCTAGGCGTGAAACAGGAGATTAGCTAGACATATTTTTATATTCGAGCGTATTCGAGTGTATTCGACTGTATTCACAGCGTGAAAAATGGGATTACAGCTGGACAGATTATTGTACTCGACTGTATTCACGGCGTAAAACAAGGGATTACAACTGTTTTTAAACGGAAAGTGAATTAATTAACATAATAGACTCCTAATATAACTCAACAAGCTCAATTATAACACACAAATTTTGTATTTTCAGTTATAAAAAAGATTCTTTACCGAAAAACACCGCAAAAACATAGCAATCTTCAGAGAAATTATATAATACATATGAGTACATAAATTATATTAATTAAAAAAAACATATGAATACATTCATGGAATATAGCGAGACAGTGAATACAGTGAAATACATAGAATACAGCGGGATACATTGAAATACAATTAAAAAAAAGGACAATGAATACAATGAAATACATAGATTACAGCGAGATACATTGAAATACAATGCAAAAAAAAGGTAACAGACTCTTCAAGTTGCTCAGCCCCAAACTCTGTCGTCTTTGTTCAAGAATAACCCACACGAGGTAAAAAATTTCCAAAATTATATACAAAAGATCCAAAATCATCGAACCTCCGATTTCAAAAATTCTTTCTATGATTTTTGCGTTGGTTTCAAGAATCCAAAATCCAAGAATCCAAATACAAGAATCCAAAATCATCGTCTTTGTTCCAGAACTGATGATTCTGACGATGCTGATGGCATCGTCGTTTGTGAGGTCTCTCTTTTCACTTCCCCAAACATTTTATATCTCATTTTTCTACTGTTTTTCTGATTTTTGCGTTGGTTTCAGATTTCTAAGAATTGGAGAGTATCAGTACGGAGCTTTCAAGGGAAGATAATGGTGGATATTTGTGAGTTTCAGAAAGGCGGAGGTTTTGCATCAGAAGAAAGGCGGAGGTACTGTGATTTGTGGCGTTGGTTGAGAGAGAGAGGGTGGAGAAAATCTGAAAGAATGAGAGAGAAAAATAAATCAAAGCGTATTTTATGGCTTAAGGGTAGGAGGTGACCATAAGTAGATATTTGGCTATAAAAATCAAAAGGTAGCTATGGAATATAACTTTTTAAAATGGTATTTATTTAAAATAAATAAGGTATCAACCTTTGCTATAGGAGTTAACTAATCCTTATTTATTTAGAATAATAGCATCCAGTTAAGCATGTAAATTGGGCTGGGTTGGATCATGTCCGGACCGGCATGGTTCTTATAGCCTGTTTGATCAAACTTCTAAAATCAGCTTATTTTGCAAAGTACTTTTTTTAAAAATATTTTTCTCAAAAGTATTTTTGGTGAGAAGCAATTTGTGTTTGACTAATTAATTTAAAGCACTTCTGAGCATCAATTAGTGTTTGGCTTTTAAAAAGTAATTCTAAATGTATTTTTCTCAAAAGTACTAATGTTATAAACGTCAATACCACACAAGAGGGGGGGTGATTTGTGTGGTACCTAATTTTCGCGTTAGAAGAACCTGGTTCTTCTAAGTGTTCTAACTACAGCAGTTTGCGGAATAATAAATACTGAAAGTAAAGTGCACAAAGATTTTTACGTGGAAAACACCTGGCTCAAAAGGTGAAAAAACCACGACCTACTACTCAGTAGGATTTTCCCAAACTCCACTAAAATCACTGAGCCAAAAACTACATTTACAAAACTCTTTGTAAACCTAAGGATTCACTCTAATCCCAGTGTAGCACACAGCCTCAACTGTTGCGACACTTTCAAGTTAACTCTAACTTGAATACTCAATGCACCAAATACAATTGCTTCGAAGAAAGCTGGAAAGGTACAATGTTAAAACACCTACTACAATTGAACTAGACTTAGAATAAACACAATGATGAAACTGGTTCTTCTATCTTAGTTCATGTAGCTTCAGACGTGCACACTTGTATCTCGCATATGTTGCTTGCAAATCAGACTTGATCTTTTTGCTCTCAAATATGCTTAACTTCTGCTTATGTGCAATCACCTGTAAAAGAGAACAATCGTTATATTTATAGAGTTAGTAATCAGAGTTTGATAAGAACTCGAATTGTGGATCCTTTGACAATTCGAGTCCAAGAACAACTCTAACTCCTAATCCATATTCTTGATGTAATTCTCTTTTCATAAGGAGACTTCAACTCCTTATCCTATATGCAATCTTTTCGATCGGTTCAGAAGATATTCATCAAGATATTGCTGCTTGATCTCAAGGACTTATCTTCTTCACGTGCATCTCATGTGTATGGGCCATAACAACTGTGTCTCCTTAGATGAACCTGGTCCTCTACTGAGTTCGTTTGTCATTCTTCAAAACTTCAACTGATCTTGGGCCAACAAGTACTTTTTGAAAGAGTGTTATAGGATAGATAATATTTTTTGGCAAAATGCCCTCCTGGCACTTAAACTTGTACTGAATTGCTAACCGGGTAAACGAACTTACAAGTTTTCCAATGTCACACCTCTACTTCAGAATATGAGGAGTAATAAACACATAGGTCTGAGCGTGTTCCTCAATTGTTATGTCACAAATGACACGACATATGCTTTGCCTTTCATAATTTGACATGTGTAATATGTAGGCCTCACCTTTTTTATTCCAATTTGTCAAAATTTTAACTTATATTTTTCTTTCTTTTCTCCCCCACCACAATTGAGACCTGCAAGAAACTCATAAACAAGCAATAAACTCAAGTCGACCGGAGAACTCCCTTGTAATGTCTTTGGTCGGCGACCAATAGTTGGCTCTCCGTATTGCCTACTCATTTTATCAATATCCAGTCACCATCTCTGTCCAAACATCTTATTCTATTTGATTTCAACCAGCTCAATCACCATCTCCGTCGAGACTTCCTTCCCACCAGCCCATTGGCATAGACAAAACATATCAGAAATGGCATTTCACCCTTGCCGCTATTTTTTCTGAAAAGAAAAAGGAAAAAAGATGAGCATTAACCAGATCGGAAGCTTCTAATAGTGACCTTAACCATAAATCACAATCACCCCCTTCGTTGACAAAAAACATACTCCAAAAAGAAATACTCCAAACACTTAAATGTGAAGAAGAGAGCATTTTTTTCCGCCAAAACTTCGTCCAAAATCATCCATCACCATCAGACCAGATCGGAGAAACTATTGTGATTTTCTTCTGTCGAAAATCAAGTTGTGGGTTACATTCTTCTCTCTAAAACTTTATACTCAATTAATTAAAAAAAAGCTCTTATTCCTTTCAACTAATTAAAGGTTAACAAAGAAAAGAATGAAAAGGCCTAGGAGGAAAGGTTGGGGTGAGGGATGGGATAAGAAACGGAAAGAATGGGGAAAAGAGGTGGGATCGAAGGAGGTGGAAGTGTTGAGATATTAATATATATTTTTTTTTTATTTTCTGTCTTTTGTTATTATTTATATATTTTTGTTTATTTTGATACTTTTTCTATTAAAACTATTACATTCACGCGCTATTTAGGTGTGATTTGCACATAGTTTAGCCATGTCAGCAATGTTTCTTCACGTATGCATAGTCAACGGTCAAAGGTGTTTATTACTGTAACGACCCGACCGATCATTTTGAGATCTAGCTCATCGTTAAGCGGTTTGAAGCCCGGTATTATGACTTGTACGCGTGGTAGGAATTGAATTCCGGGAAGTTCGGAGTTGATTTGGTGAGAGAATTCTCATTTCGGAAGCTTTAAGCTGAAAGAATTGACTAAGATTGGATTTTTGTGTAAACGACCTCGGAATCGCGATTCGAAGACTCCAGCAGGTTCGTATGATGATTTTGGACTTAGGCATATGTCCGGACTAGGTTTTGGAAGACCCGGGAACGTTTCGGCGCCTATTGTGGAAGTTAGCATTTTTGGAAGAATTTCATAAGTTTGGGTTGAAGTGCATTTTCAGTGTTATTGATGTCCGTTTGGGATTCCGATTATGGGAATAGCTCCGTATGGTGATTCTGGTGTTGGGAGCGTTATCGGAAGTGAATTCGGAGGTCCGTGAGTCATTTTGGAGTCATTTGGCTAAAGATAGAAATTTGAAGGTTTTTGAGGAGTTTAACCGAAAGTGGACTTTTTGATATCGGGGTCGGATCCCGATTCCGGAAGTTGGAGTAGGTCCGAATTGTCGAATATGA